TCACTGACACCCACATTCATGGGGTCTGGATCAGTCCCATGCTAGTTTCTGGGGACCAAGTGCTCTCCCTTGTTCAGGTAAGCAGTTTCTGTGGGTTTCACCAGCCTGGTATGGACCCCTCTGCTCATCAGTCCTCCTCAGCAACTGTAGTCGAGTTCAGTACAGTGTTTAGCCATGAATGTCTGCTTCTACTTCCACCAGCTGCTGGATGAAGGCTATAGGATGACATATAAGTTAGTCGTCAATCTCGTTATCAGGGGAGGGCACTTAAGGCAGCCTCTCCTCTGTTGCTTAGATTGTTAGTTGGTGTCATCTTTGTAGATCTCCAGACAGTTCCCTAGTGCCTGATTTCTCTTTAAACCTATAATGGCTCCCTCTATTATGGTACCTCTTATCTTGCTCTCCTCTATTCTTCCCCCAACTCAGCCTTCCTGCTCCCTCATGTTCACCTCACCCCTCCTCTTCTTCCCTTCTCATTCTCCTAGCTCCCACTCTCCTCTCCCCATGCTCCCGATTTGCTCAGGAGATCCTGTCCCTTTTGCATTCTCTGGGGGACTTTGTATGTCTCTCTTAGATTCCTCCTTGTTTCCTATCTTCTCTGTAGGTGTGGATTGTAGGCTGGTAATCCTTTGCTCTATGTCTAAAATACACATATGAGTGAGTACATACCATGTTTGTCTTTTTGTGGCTGGGTTACCTCACTCAGAATGGTTTCTTCTAGTTCTATCCATTTGTCTTCGAATTTCAAGATTCCATTGTTTTGTTTTCTGCTGAGTAGTACTCCATTGTGTAAATGTTCCACATTTTCTCTTTCCATTCTTCAGTTGAGGAGCATCTGGGTTGCTTCCAGGTTCTGGCTATTATAAATTATGCTGCAATGAACATTGTTGTACAGAAGTCCTCGTTGTATGAGTGTGCTTCTTTTGGGTATATGCCCAAAAGTGGAATTGCTGCATCTTGAGGTAGACTGATTCCCATTTTCCTAAGAAAAAGCCATACTGATTTCTAAAGTGGCTATACAAGTTGGCACTCCCACCAGCAGTGGAGGAGTGTTCTCCTTTCTCCACATCCTCTCCAGCATAAACTGTCATTGGTGTTTTTTATTTTAGCCATTCTGAGGTGAGTAAGGTGGTCTCTCAGAGTTGTTTTGATTTGCATTTCCCTGATGGCTAAGGAAGTTGAACCCTTTCTTATGTGTCTTTCAGCCATGTTAGATGAGGAGGAATTTTGTATTGACACTTTTTGGAAGTCATTCACCAAATAAAGTGTGAGAGTTTCATAGAGGTATTAGAATATTTACAGTAGTAAATATCTTATCTGTGTGCTCATATTTATTGTTTCAGATTAGAATTTAAAATTTATTCCATAAAGGAAAACAAGTTAAATTCTTTTTGTTTCACTTTTAAAAACATCTTATTTTACATAACAGTCCCTGCTCCCTTTACCTCACGTCCTCACACTCCCCAGCATCTCCCCACCCTACCCTCTATCTTTTCCACATGGAGTGTGAAGCCTTCCATGGGGTATCATCAAAAATCTGTCACATCATTTTGGGTGGGACAAAGACACTCCCCCATATATCTAGGCTGAGCAAGGAATCCCTCCATAGGGGATGGGCTCCAAGAAGCCACTTCATGCACTATGGATAATTACTGGTTCCACTGCCAGTGGTTCCATAACAATCCCAAGTCCCTCAGCCCCACCCCAACTTTAAAAGTAATAAATGGTATTTTATCTATCTTCTTCCCACTCCAAAATATCCAGAGTGATGTAAGAGTAAATTGTAAGTACCCACCTGACAATGTAGAACAATTCATTGAATAATTTAGCATTAAGTATCATCTTTGTCCTTCCATACCACTGAGATTTTTTTTTTGCTAGGAATATCTGAAATTTTTTATTTATTTGAAAAACATTTGCTTTAAGATGTCTTAGTATATAGAAATGGATTTCATCAGATAATTTATATTTTACTTTCATTAAACTGTCTCCTACCATCTCAAGGAAATATTTGACTTTTTAACTGAACACCAGGTGCAATATACAGCTACAAATAACACAGACACTCTTCTATTTGTAACATTCCTACACTGCATAGACTTTAAATAACACTGCTAAAGGCCTAAACTTGCTTTATCCCTTATTAGCTATGGGAATCTGGGCACATTACTTTGCTTTCTGAGACTTTTTTCACTGTTCAATTAAGGAAAAGAGTAGTAACTAATCCATAGAATTATTGAAAGTGAAATGAGACAATACATACAAAAGACTCAGAACACTGCCTGTTCAC